AGTACACTGATAAAAAAGGAAATCTGCCAATAAAGCAGAATTCTATAAGCAAGAAGAAAATGTTCAGGGTAAGGTTGTAATAACATAGGAAATGCTTCAGCTAGGGAGTTAGGTGACTAAAAACAGGACACAAATGAACCTATGAGACGGCCTTAAAAGATACTCATAAGAGAAAAAAAGGCTACCAAAATGTTACAGTGATGATGGGACTACAAGTGATCTTTTCCTATTTTTTGGTAGTGTCTGTTTTTAACAATGTGCATTTATTATAACCAAAAAAGGAATAAAGTATGCTAGTATTGTCAATGTTTTGTTTACCTTCAAGATCCTGATGTCACTCTCCCTCTTCCATGAAACCTACAAAAGGCATAAACCTTAACAGCATAATTCAATTATTTGGTGAGCATCAGAATCACTCAAATGAGAGGTGTGTTTTTTTTAATCTTTGCCTGAGTCAATGGGAAAAAATATCCTCAGAGAGGAAGGGAGAGAGAGAGAGAAACATCGATGATGAGAGAGAATCAGGGACCGGCTGCCTCCTGCACGCCCCCCACACTGGATCGCGCCTGCAACCCTGACGGGGAATGGAACCGTGACCTCCTGGTTCATAAGTTGACGCTCAGCCACCGAGCCACGCTGGCCGGGCGTCCGAAATCACTTTTCATGTTGAGGCCTGGGGTGCAGGGGGGCCTGGTGGAGGTGGGGGACTCCGGCTTTCACTGAGCCGTGGGGACTGCCTGAGCCGGGTCATTTCCAAGGGCAGCCGGGAGCCATGGAGGGTCCAAGAGTGATAGCAGCTGGGCCTTACCCCTGCCCCCCGCCCCCTGCCCTCAGCTCGGTTAGCACCATCCGGAACCAGCGCTACCACATCCACGCCAACCTGTCCTCAGCCATCCTGGTGGCCCAGGTCCTACTGCTGGTCAGCTTCCACTGCCGGCCGGGCACGGTGAGTCCCCCCGCCCACGTCCTCCCCAGATGCCACCGGGGTGCCACCTCCTGCAGCTGGAATTCCCCAACCGGAATGCAGAGGGACCCCCAGAAAGCTGGCCGGGGTCCCCCAGGGAGACTGGCCTGCAGATGACATGGTGTCTGGCTGACTGACACGTCGGGGTGGACAGAATGACATCCAGAGTCTAGCGGGGAAGCCACGCCACTGGCTGCACCCCCTTCCCACAGGCCTCCCCTCGGGGACCAGCGTGCGGCCAAAGCTCCAGTCCTCCCTCTGAGCCAATCCCGTTGCAGAGAATGGGGCTCTGCATGCTGATTGGCCGGATCTGATTCCCACATCTTCCTGGACCAGTCACTGAGCCTGGGAGGGAGCCTGGGGCAGCGATGGGTTCCCCGGGGGTCCCGTGCCCCACAGACTAGAAACGGGAGGGAGCCGACTCCCAGGGCGGAAATCAGACCACGTGACCCAGGAGACGCCCCAGACGTGGGCGCGGGGAGGCTGGGGCCCCCGGAAACGCCTGGAGACTGACCTTCGGCCTCTGCTGGGCTCGCAGGTCCCGTGCCAGGTGCTGGCCGTGCTCCTGCACTACTTCTTCCTGAGCGCCTTCGCCTGGATGCTGGTGGAGGGGCTGCACCTCTACAGCCTGGTCATCAGGGTCTTCGGCTCCGAGGACAGCAAGCTCCGCTACTACTACGGGGTCGGGTGGGGTAGGTGCCGGCTGGGGG